AATGATGAACTTACCACTTAATAAGATTTCATGTAAAAGAATTATTTTACTTTATATTTTTCATGTGATTATGCTGTGATCTTTCATTACATTATAATAGAAATTATAATATTTATACTCAAGAGATATGCATATGATAGTAATTGTTGCTTACTTTGTTATTAAAAAATAAAAAATAAAACTTTATTCCTGTCAGTTCAGCAATTTAAGATTTTCTATTACTATACTTATTGAATAAATAGTTTGTCACGGTACAATTAATCAAATATTACATGCAAATATTGAATTAATAAAGTTGGAAAATTTTGTTGTGTGCAAATGATCATTATCAACTTTTGAATACAGCAGACATGTTTACTATTACAACAATGCTTTTAGTTTCAAATTTATCTAACTGCTATATATTAACATTAATTGGTGCAAAAAATTGTTTCTTAAAGAAATGTATTGCAGCATGTACAAAAGCAATGTTGCAAATAATACATAATTAAACTGAAGTTAATAACAAGCAGGCATACTAACAAATATGAAGCAGCTTTAGACACTAAAAATTAGTATCGGGCTTGCCTGTACCATGGTATGAAGATCAATGGAATAGCAATACCTGATGCCTAAACCGTGTTGTGCAGAGCAAGTCTGAAGATGTCATGCTGCACGTAAAAGCTGGTGCCAATTGGCTTCAGGACAAATGTCTGGATGTATGCATGGGGCTGATCCTCATCAGTCTGCCCAATCATCAACAATCACTGACTGAATTTTCTTATTTCATCTTCTTTGTGGAGGTATATAGAGAGATTGTTGCTGGACATTAGTCATAGCTCAATCTCTATCTTCATATGGCAGCACAAAAAATGTAAGGCAGTACAGTACACATTTGTGTAGCATGTCCAGCCAATAAAATATAATATATGGACGAATAAAGAGTTTAAATATATCATAGAATTTAAAAACAAAATATTGGGGCCAAAAGTCCTCCTTTACATTTTGCGTTTATTAAATAAACAAGAGGAGTAATAAGTTAAATTACTGAACTAATTGGAATAAGAACTCTGCACATATTGAATTATAAAGTTTTTTCCTTCTTATAAAATTCTTATCATGTATATAAACATTACCAATTTGTATGCTTTTATATGAAAACTTATTTATTTATTCACACTATAGCTATAATATAGACCAAATTATTTTTCATACCTGTAACCTTCCTAAAACATTAATGAGTACGCCACCATCAAACATTGGTTGTGAATCAATAGCAGTTATTATCCGATTTATTTTTTGAAATGTTAAACTCTGAAAATTAAAAATTGATAATGAATATAATAAACAAGGTAAAAATGGATTAGTATATATTTATCCTTCTTTAATTTCGTTTTTATTTCTTTTCTGCAAAAAATAAATAAACGAATTTCTTAAAACTTCTTAATCCATAAAAATTACATTAACAAATATGACGGCGTTGGTGCAATAAAGTTAATATATAGCACACTTCTTATGCAAAATACTTACAGTTAATTTTTCCATGATTTTAATAGAACCCTGTATTTGCAAACCCTCAAATGTCATGAAAGATGACTCAGTCTGCAAAGGCAGTATCGAATGAATACGTAAAGAAAGAAGGGACATAGTAAATAAATGTAATTATAAATAATCAAAACTTACATTATACATATTTATTAAATTTGGTCTTTGAGCGGGGTCGTCAAACATCGCATAATACTGTTGTACAAAACCCTTTCCGATAACTTCATATTGGGGGTTTAATGCCATTACGTTAACTTATTGTGTTCGCACTCACTACTCGATATTCACAATATCAGTCTTTTCAAGTGATTCGATCGTTCGACAATTTATATTTAAAAAAAGTTTTACGGTAAGAGTAAAATAATGCCTATTAACATCCCTCGTGTAAGATACAAGCTAGCAGGAAGCTACTCATGCCGACCAATCATTTCGATGTATCGAGAAAATCATCGGGATTATTCTCGAACTCTCGAAAAGTTTAGATATTTGACAACGATTGCAGTCGTTTTTGTATATACAATGTTGTTTCTGATTCGTGATTTAAACACCCTAAAACATATGAAATTAATATGTTATTATTTCGAAAACTGTATAATACATATTGCAATAAACAAACAAAGACTTTTATATCGCAACGATGAACAGAACCGGTCTGAAAGCGAATTCTCTATGAAGAAACAACTTTGTCGAACGTCATTTAAACCGTGATGTAGGATTGGTTTACCGCCATTGCCGGATGTCTAATGATACGACATCTGCAGTTTGGATTTTGAATACAGAACGGGTAAAGGATTGAAAGTTAGGTTAACTTCCTTTTTTCCGGTGTGAAAAGCCGTGAGGTGTGTGGTGTTTGTCACTATAGAAAGTAATCTAAAAACATCGGAAAATAGAAAAATAATTTGTTTATATATATATCATTGTTATAAACAATGATTATTCCGATATTTTTGACATAGTAATCATTTTTTAAATTTTAGAATTTTAATAACAGGTTTTAGAGTATGTTGATAAATATTTGAACTTTCTTTGTATTGAACATAATTTAGAATTAAACTAATTATTTGAGTTTTATGCGTTTTGGAAAACATTAATTTTGTATAATTTTACTTATTAATTTTGGAGATAATTGTGTTAGAGAAGAGGTTATGTGATTTTGAGTACAGTGTTTACAACTGCCAATGTAGTCTGTGTGTTAAAAAGGCCATTTCATTAACAAAAAGTTAATAATTAACTTAAAATAAATTACTATACGATTTTTTCTAACAGGAATATCCATTTTTAAATTTTTAACCCAATAACCAATTTTTTACTTTTATCCTTATAGTAACATATCTTCAAGATGGGGAAGATTATGAAAACAGGAAAAGTCGTATTGGTCCTTAGCGGCCGATATGCTGGAAGAAAAGCTATTGTCATGCGTAATTATGATGATGGTACCACAGAAAAACAATATGGACATGCAATGGTTGCAGGCATTGACCGATATCCACGTAAAGTACATAAAAGGATGGGTAAAGCAAAAATTCACAAGCGTTCCAAGATCAAGCCTTTTGTGAGAGTAAGTTTCTCAAGTATTTAAACATTCTTACATTCATTAGATATCAAGTATGCAAAGTTTTTAATAAAAGTACTTGATATTTTCAAACTTTTGCCTTTAGTACTTTTTTCTGTAATATATTATTTTATATGATTCAACATCACTTGTAAATGTATTCATTAATTATATTTCAGATATTAAATTATAACCATTTGATGCCAACAAGATATACTGTAGATTTGCCTTGGGAAAAAGTAACACCTAAAGACCTAAAAGATCCAATGAAGCGTAAGAAGATTCGATTTCAGACTCGTGTTAAATTTGAAGAAAAGTGTGTATATCTTTAACTTTTACGTAATATTATTTTGTATGTGGTTTTAAAAGTGCATTGAGGATTATTTAAGGGATAGATGAGTGATATAAATATTTTTTTATAGGTACAAATCCGGTAAAAACAAATGGTTCTTCCAAAAATTACGATTCTAATTAAATTGAAATAAATATAAAATCTACAAGAATTTTGAGTGTAGTATTTCCACTTATCCTCCTATAACAATGAAAAAACAACTCTATGCCTTTCTGTACATATACTTGAAAAGCATGATTCTAATTTATTTTCAGTTTGCAGTATTTATACATTAATGAGATTTTTGCTA